CTTAATGTGACCACAAACTGACTTTATGTGATGGTTATGGCTCCATCTCTTTTTGAATGTTGCTGTTTGTTCCCTAAGGCTGTTGTTATTATTCAGAATTTCGGCAAAAAAACGTATTGTTTCCTTTGAGATGGGAACTGCTGTTAATCCACAAGAAAAAAAGGCATTATCTTGAGCCGAGGGGGATGTATTAGAAAAACATGTCGCTCCACAGAAAATAGCCAAGCCAGAGGGATTCAGTAACACCGAGGAAATTCATGAAATCCAAATAGAGTAGCATAATACTGGGCCCAAAAGGATGTTATTTTGTGTGCGGGTTAACCAAGATCTAGGTGTATTCAAGCCTCAGACAAACACTTTTGTTCCTCTTACAACATGGCAATGCAAATAGAGACAGATCCTGCTGGTGAACAACATTGTTACAATGCCGGTCTCTGGGGTGGATAACAGGAACAGCAAACACCCTGCTGTCTGGAGGAAAGAATGGGTGGCTGTCATCTATCTGCCTGGCAGAGGAGGAGGAAGAGGAGGGAGGTGTGAGGGTAAATATGATTTAGCCCCGATGATCTCCACAGGGGGCTCATGCAAAGGTAACCCCCACCCACTCGGTCCAAATACACATGGGACATGGAGGGGGGTGCATGGGGGATAGGAATCAGGGCAGGGAATGAGCTATAATCCTGGTGCTGTCATGATAAAAAAAAGTATGGGGGGGGTGATTTAGAGTATCAGATCAATAGAACAAAGCACTCTCACTTCATGTAGCATCCATCCAACAGGACGGCAATGATATCTGCCACCAAATCAGCTCACTCCCCTCCCCCCCAGGGAAAACATCCTCCTTGAGTTGATAGAAACACTGGGGAAGAAAAGATACCCTCACACTTGGAAGGGGTGATTTTCCTCCAACAATTGGGGTTTTCAATTTCAGGCAAACCAAACTTACCATTCGGCCTCCAAGCAGCTTGGTCTTGACAGATGTGTGTGCATGAGTGAGTGTGTGTGTGTGTGTGTGTGTGTGTGTGTGTGTGTGTGTGTGTGTGTTGGCAAACCATTTGTCAGCCATATGGAAATGTCACAGAGCAATCATAAACAATTATCCTCCCCAGCTCTCAGAGCATTCAGGATAGGGCAAATCTCCATAAAGGCACAAAGGCTCTGCCACTCACATCTAAGAAACAGACGACCCGAAGCTCAGCGCACACTTAAGAAATATCAGAAACTAAATGTTTTTTTCTAATACCTGCCTTTGATGTCCTTTATTCTACATGGTGTCTTGTTGGGAAGCTTGTAGAAGCTGAAAGATCATGTCCTTCACTTGAGCGTCTGAGATGTAAATTATGCGTTTTAAAGCTCGCAAGTTGTTTGGAAACAGAACATCACTGAGAGACCATGTAATGATCTTACTCCCCCATTGAAAGCAGACTGGAGGTAGACATAAAACCAGCTATAGATCAAGTCAAACCAGGCTTTCCGCCCAGCAGTAAATCAAGGAGCTGGACACAGAGGAGGAATGGGTAATGGACGGTACGGCAGACGCACGGCCGACCCTGAATGAATCCACCGAGGATTGGATGAGGAATGAGAGGACGGAGGGAGGGGTGGTGTGGAGCGGCAGGAAGGAGGGGTGGGTGGAGTGCAGAGGGGGTAATGGGGCAGCTGCTTGTTTGGTCTCAATCATCACCAATCGACTGACAAATAATGTGATTCTGTTGCCATGAAAGTAAATAGCTAAGCCTCTTACCGGAAGCCTTTGTAATTGAGGAGTAGGGACGTCAAGAGAGGGCCAAACAAATTCATAGGCTGTCGGCTTAAATGTATGAGGTAATTCAGTATATTGTGATTTGAATACAATTAAGATTTCTTTCACTGTTGTTCCCCGGAAATTGATTACCAGAAAAAATGTTTTCAAACAATTGTATTGACAGTTTAAATCATGTGCCTTGCATGACATTTCCTATATTCACTGTTTATTAAAAAGCCTGTTGCTTGTTTCAGTCGTCGGTGTGATTGCCTCACATCACTAGGGGGCAGTAAAGTCAAGAGGAAAGATCTGTCAAACAATTACAGATTGATGAATCGTCACCTGGTAGCTGAAGGTCATCAGGTCTTTGAGCTCATTGCTGCTGAGAGAGAGAGAGTCATTTCGGGTGAGATATTATGGACATTCTTCCGACCAGCTGTCGCTCACACTGATGCACTCATCCTTCACAAAACTATCTTTGGCTTTCATTTTGGAAAAAAAAAAAGAAAAAACATCATCAAGCCGAGTTCATTAATATGCGTTGCAGCAATTCATTTTCTGTCACTGCTGTTATTATCTGCAAACAATGCTGCGAAAATATCCCCAAACAGCTTTACCTGGGAAAATGAATTAGAGTACCTGAAGGAACAGAAGGCTAAAAAAGTCCTTGCCAGAGGGAGAGAAACTATTTCCAAGACACTATACCAAGACTTTCCCGCTTCCTGACACCATTGCTGTGTTATAATGCACCAGATGGCGAGCTGGTCTCTCGCTATTACCCTGACAATATGACTGTAATGGAAGTGGAAGTGCCACAAGTGGTAGCCAAAAAGATTGGAGCCCAACTGTCGTGTTCCATAAGGCCTCTCTATAGCTGCTTCACATTAAGGAGACTGAGGCAGGTGTGTTGGCATCCTAGCCCTCAGCCCCTGCTCACTGCACAGCGGAGTGTTACTGTGGGGTGCGTATTTGAGGATGTAGGTTTAAGTGTGCGGTGTACATGGTTGTGTGTGCATTTGTATGTTGGTCTTACTACTCCTGCAATGCAGTTCTGGAGGGCTGAAATCCATCTCGCTCTAAATATATTCCAGGCACGTGAAGCAGGAGATGGTATTGGTCCAATGCCAACACACTGACACAACATTACATTACATTACAGTCATTTAGCAGACGCTTTTATCCAAAGCGACTTAGAATAAGTGTATTCAACATCGGTTTTCGAGAGAACTACTAGTCACCAGAAGTCATTAGTGCATCTCCTTTCCTCAAACAAGCATCTAAGCATAAACCAGAGCCAACGTACAGTGCAGAAACAAACAAATGCAATAAGTGCCACAAACTAATAAGAAAACAATAAGTGCAATAAGCTAGTATGAATACAATAGATGCTAAGTAAATGCTAAGTGGAAGGCTCAGGGTAGGCCTTTTTGAAGAGGTGAGTTTTCAGCCTGCGCCGAAAGATGGGCAGCGACTCTGCTGTCCTGACGTCAGTGGGGAGTTCATTCCACCACTGTGGGGCCAGGACAGAAAACAGCCGCAACCCGGTCGATCGACCGCAGGGACCTCTGAGCGACGGGGCAACCAAGCGCCCCGAGGCAGCAGAGCGGAGTGGTCGGGCGGGGGTGTAGGGCTTGACCATGGCCTGGAGATAGGAAGGAGCTGTTCCTTTCACTGCCCTGTAGGCTAGCACCAGAGTCTTAAACTGGATGCGAGCTCTTACAGGTAGCCATTGTAGAGAACGGAGAAGGCAAGTTGTGTGGGAGAACTTGGGGCGATTGAACACCAGGCGAGCTGCAGCTTTCTGGACAAGCTCCAGAGGTCTGATGGCCGACGCCGGGGCTCCGGCAAGTAGTGAGTTGCAGTAGTCCAGGCGGGAGATGACAAGAGCCTGGATGAGCACCTGCGCCGTCTCATCAGTGAGGAAGGAGCGAATCCTCCTGATGTTGTAGAGCATGAATCTGCAGGAGTGTGTAACCGATGCAATGTTTGCTGAGAACGACAATTGGTCGTCCAGGGTCACACCCAGGTTCCTCGCAGTCCGAGTTGGCGTCACCACGGTATCGTCAATGGTGATGGACAGGTCTCTGTGTGGGCAACCCTTCTCCGGGAGGAACAGTAGCTCGGTTTTGTCCAGGTTGAGCTTGAGGTGGTGTGTCATCATCCACTTCGAGATGTCAGCCAAGCATGCAACGATGCGTGCCTCCACTTGAGTGTCCCCGGGGGGGAAATGACAAGACCAGCTGGGTGTCATCGGCATAACAATGGTAAGAGAAGTCATGCGAGCGAATAACAGAACCCAGAGATGTTGTGTAGAGCGAGAAGAGAAGGGGGCCCAGGACTGAGCCTTGTGTAGTTAGCATGCGTGGTTCCGACACGGCCCCCCTCCACGTCACCTGGTAGGATCGACCTGACCTCTCGCTGCGTGAAGCGACTCCGTCGCCGCAAGGAGGGCTGTCTCAGTCGAGTGACCGACTTTGAACCCAGACTGGTGGGGGTCCAAGAGGTTGTTTTGGTGGAGATAGGAAGACAGTTGAGTAAAGACAGCGCGTTCAAGTGTTTTGGAAAGAAAGGGTAGAAGAGAAACCGGTCTGAAGTTCTTGACATCAGAGGGGTCAAGTGATGTTTTTTTCAGAAGGGGGATGACTCTGGCAGTCTTGAAAGCTGTGGGAAAGCATCCTGAAACGAGGGATTTGTTGATGAGGTGGGTGAGGAAAGGAAGGAGTTCAATCACAACCACACTGACAGTGGTGGAAAGGTATTTAGAGTGATTTACTTAAGTACTGAACGCACAATTGTGAGGCACAATACTGGAAAAGTTCCATTTTATGCTTCTATATATTTTTATTCCACTGCAATTAAGAGGTCTCCCTGCCCTCTATTCATTTGACAGGTGTAATTACTTGGTACGCAATATATTCTATGTAAAATGTATATATTAAACTAAAATACAACGCACCATAAATCAGTGATTCCCAATTAAAAAAGGCAGTGTCTAGTTGGGGCTCCTTGTCACCTTTTAGATATTTTAGCAGATCCACTGAAGCCAAGTTTCCCCTCGAAACTTCTCTAATTGTTTCAGTTCAATAAATGTTTGAGGCACAAAGAAGTAAAACTCTCCATTATTTTATAAAAAGTAACAGCAAAAATGTGTTTTTCTGCTTATGTTCATGACTCATTGAAATCTCCGTGATTCAGAACATCACTCATCACTTCGAGAGAGGGCAATGACATTGAGTAAACAGTCTGAAAACTGAAATTAAAGCAGATAATTATTTATTCATTCATTATATTTCCAGTAGCTTGAATTTCATACTTGCACTAAAAGGAGAAACTTAAATAGAGACAAAGAAAGTATCTGTTAGTAAAAATCTGTTTCTTAAATACAAAACCATTTGCAATACTGTCAGAAAAGAGCATCGGTTTGGCAGTAAACTGGGACTGCGTAGAACCAATACAAATCAGAATAATAGAGTTTTGTGCATCAATTAATATTGTTGCTAAATACTACATGTTGTACAATACCAAAGTCGTATAACTCGCTGACAAGCAAATCAGAAAACGATCAAAATCCAGATTTATATGCAATTTTCTGTCCAGTTAGTTACAATACAATTTACACTGTGCACAGCAAAAAAAAAAGAATATATATTTTCTACAAGTACTCTATATTTAATACAGTCCTATCAACAAGTTAAACCATATCATGCACAATATTGCCTATTAGGCTGCTTGTCCCTGTACAATCAATTAAGGTATTTACAAATTCAACAGATATTCTACACGTCATTAAAAAAAACAAAAAACTTGATGCAAGTTAAGAGAAAAGAAATCTTGATTCCGTCCAAAGGCCCTCAAGTGTAGTTAGTTCAAGTGAACGATCTTTGCCTAAAAGGAATTGAATAATGTGTAGTATTCACACACAGATGTCCGTACATTCATACACTGCAGAAATACAATCAGGTTCTGTACATAATGACTGCAGACTTTGAAAAATGCACCAGATGTGGTTTTAATGATGTTTTAGTCTGATCCAATTTAGGTTGTGCTTAGCTTCTTGGAGGAATCAAAGCCAGTCCTGTGTCTCAAGGCATTGGGACGTCTTTACAAAAAAAGATAAGAGTATATGAATTATTCGTCCTTCCACAGACTCCTCTTCTCAAGCTTATCTGATCCTTTCTTGGATGTGACTTCCGCAGTCCTACTACTGTCTCTGTTCCAGTCACTGAACTCCGGGAAGAGACTCCAGAATGGAATTGATGCTTTGAAGAAAAGGCACTATACCTGCTGAAAGCATTGCAGGGATTGACGCAAGCCGTCGCACCCTCAGCATTTCCCATTGGCCTTCAGATCAAGCTCAATAAGAGGTTACATGCGGGGCAGAAGGTCACATGACACGCCATGCAGCATTTCAGCTTCTTCCTTCATAGGGGCAGTTGGATCATTCAACAGACAGATGAGGATGTATCAATGCAGAGATCTCAAGCATGCTTTGTGCACTGTTCCCAATATTCAGTTTACAGATAGTTCACTTTATGTATATATATATACATATATTTAGATATACATACACACACACTGTACATCTGCCTTGTGCAGTGATGGAATTGCATGAATGAATTACATAATTAAATACAGATTCCAGTCCAAGCTTCTGTGTTGAAAAAACAAAACATGGAGTAATAGTCTTTAGACACTGATTACTATTTGAACATAGTAGATGATATAATAACCAATAACAAAATCCAATATAGTTGAGACGAGCACTGCATAATCCATAAGAGGTTTCCGGTGAGAATGCTTCACTTGTTACTATCAAAGTGTAAATTCAAATATGGATTTGGGTCATATCAGGTGTTTCATGCGTGCACTGTTCAAATCAAATGTGTGGTTGAGCTACTTCATTCCTGAATGCTGCGTAAGGTATAATGAGCCACAGGTCTCCAAAGCCTCTCCATAAAGACTTCCAAGTGAAAACATAAATGTCTTAGACGAGTTATGTGCATTTCATGTACGACACTGGGGATGGAGATGTGATCATAAAGCCATGCAGTGTTGGGACAGCCCTCTAAAGAGAGATGTGGGGATTGAGGAGTCCGTGCAGCCCCTCATACCGGTCTGTGACGACTGATTGGCTTACACAAATGAGTTCAAGGAGTTCATGGCATTAATCGGGGAGGGGGCCTCCGAGCTCTCGTGGCCCTCAGCAGTCTCCCTGATGGCACTCTTTCCACTATACTGGCCGATAAACGAGCCATCCTCGTTGAACTGTCCGTCTCCTCCTTCCCCGTAGTCAACTAAACTGTCGTCACTGTTGTCTCTCTTAACTGTCCCATTAGACGGCGTGCGGCTCCCTTTTAATGGTTTATGGTCCTCATTGTCACTGAAGGAGAAAATAACATGCAGGTGTTACAGGTGAGATGATGTGACAGATGCAACAAGGAGATTAGTGACTTTTTTTTAGATGGAGCACTGAACAGCTAATTTTACCAAAACCTACTGTACTTTTTGGTTATGGTAAAACCAACGTATTGGTTCGTTTCTTTAGCTCTTCACTTTTTAAAAGTGTAAACTCATGAATATGCAACAGTGAACCACTGCATGAGAAGCAAGTTTGGATTTAGCTTCCTCCATGTCTAAAAAAACAGTAGCAATGGATGATTAGTTGGTTTCCATCAGGCAACAGGGGAATAAAGCTCAAGCAGCCATACCCTGTTCAAATTCCCCCTGAAACCAAATATGAAGTGGTAAATGTATTGTTTGACAAAAGCATTTCCCCCCCTCCCCCCGAGGCAGAGGTTGTGATGAATAACAGAAAATCCAAGGCAATGATGTGAATAAAACTTGGAAAAGCAAGGTTTTCAGCCAAACATCCCCCAAAGCAAGCATGATAATAATCACAAGTTGGCACAATGCACGAAAAATCTGCAAAGAAAGATTTCTTTGGATATCAGATACATTCCACATACATGAGTTGAACATCAATGAGATAAGATCACAAAAGCCATCATAATGCTGAAATGTTTTTAAATTTAGAATAGAGATTAATCTGTCGGCAAAAGCATTTTTCAGGGAGAGAACTTGCACCAGGTAAGCAATGAATGACTTACAAGACATGATGAAGGCTTTATGACCAAATATTAAACTTGATGACAGCCGTGAAAGAGCCTGGGATGCTTACACAGCGAGCGCTTTTCTCCACAGTGCTGTCCACTGACCCTCCTCACGTGCTAGATTTACATGTTGACCCTCAACCTACCGACACACCATCGTCACCCTTACCTTTCCTGAGACCTACACCCCTGCCATCAGATGAGGAGATCCAGCTGAGATCCCACACAACACAACAGTCACTCCTCACAATGCACTTTAACAGGCACATACGCCGTGTACACGTATAGTCTGAACTTACAGTACGCTCTCCTGCAGTCAAACAAAAACAGCTCAGTTGAGTGAAGTTCTGCCTTTATTGTCATACTTCCAGCTGAGCTTAATGAAACAGCATGGATAGAAAGTATACTCTCACAAAGGCACTATAATATTTGTACACTTTGCCTTGTGATTTATTGTCTACTTTGTCCTTCGAGTTGATGTCCATTTGAGAGATTCCCCAGCCGTGTAAATGGGTCTCTCTGCATGAGTTTTAAAGGATAAGTGTGGTGATGTCAACAAATCCTGTGAGAAGACCAAAACCATCAATGAACTCATTCTATAAGTCTCACATAGATTCTACTTCTGGGCCATAGTGCTGCATTATTGTCCAAAAACAAAACACAACGCCAGTGATCCACACTGAGCGACATATTGCGTCATTACAATGAGCATCTGTATATTTTTAATTCTGCGGCTGAAAACAGTCCCCAATAAATTCTCTGTTTATTTCTTAAACTTTAAAAAACTAAAGTTCCCAGCAGTTTTAGGAAATAGTTTGGCTTTTAAAATGCATCTTATAACTTATATATGTGACCATAAAAATAAAAAAGTCTTGTGAGACAGACTGATTTTGGTCTATTAAAAGAATTTGTTGACAATAATAAAAATGTAGAATATCACAGCCTCATCCTTTAAGGATGCATCACTATTAAAGAATGGCTACTGGCTTCATATAAACAGCATTAACCAGCTCGTGTACACTCAGTGAGGATTGCTTCCCTCAAACATGCTGATAATTCCATATAAGATCCATATTCATCTTTGTACCGTTTATCTATATATGAACATGATTCCATTCAACACATTATTGCCTAGAGCTAATTTTCATATATCAGATCTTCACACCATGCATGTCACATATTATATATATATATATCGATATGTATTCATCACAGCATAAAATCCATATAACAGATTTATGTTTACATAATACAAAAATTAATACAAAATATAAAAGCAAGACCATTTTATAAATTGACTTATAAAAAACAATTCAATAATGCTATGTATACAGAAGTAAAGTGCTTTGTTGTTCTTTATTCTGCGTGCGATTGGAGAAGCAGCCTAGACTGAGGATGCTAACAAGCACATCTGGATAACCGCTGTAAGTTAGAAGGAATGATGATTTCAGTGATTTTCAATCCTATCAGGGTTGTGTATGTAAGTAGCAATACACTAGGCAAAGTGTTAATACTATATATACTGTACACAGGATGTTAATGAATAGCTTATTAGTTGGAATGGGAATTGATGCTTTGGGTCAGTTTACGATGTGTTGCAAATGATTCTAGCTTATATTTTTGTTTTCCTGACAGTTTTCTTTAAAGATTTAAAACACCTAAACCCCAAATCCCTTGAACCTGAAGAATCCTGCTTCTCAAATGACACCACAATGTCATATCAATAGAGTCCGACACAAGTGGCACCCAGGACCTCCCAGAACCCAGAAAAGAAAAAAAAAAAAATCTTGTGCTTCACGGTGGTAGAGGTTCAGAAGAGGTTCACTTCTTCTTTTTGTTTTGTATTTCTCTTAATGTTGATCCTGGGTCAGTTATTGGTCAGCTGTAAAGGTTGAGAGGAGGGAGGGAGGGAGTGCAGAGCTTCAGCCCGGCCAGAGAGAGCAGATCTGGATAGAAAGCAGGGACGGGGCAGGGGTTGATGGGTAACAATGGGGCTCTGGGGGCTCCAGAGGCCGGAGCACTTTTCTCTCACCTGTATTCCCCAAAAGTACAGTCATCGTCTTTCATTGGCTGGAACTCTGGGTCTGTGTGTGCGTCCTCCTTCTCTTTGACTGGTGAGAGAAGAGGAAGCAATTTAGACAAACCGGCTTACAAGGTAAAGTAAGAAACAATGTTGATGATTCCTCATTATTCAGACGCAATGTGGCAAAAAGCTACGGCAGAGAGTATTGCAAAATATTAGCTCCGTTTTCGTTATAACCAGACCCTTTTCTCGGTAGAACAAGATATGTTTCTTGTCATTACTACATATCAAATGAACCAGTTAAAACAAGAAACATTTGTCGTAATAATAACGTATGACTTTGTCAGAAAACGTTCCTTCTGTTATTCAAAAACGTATCTTCTAAAAAAATGAACGTTAATACATTGGCATGTTCAAGAGACTTCCACATGTTTCAATGAGAAAGGTTTCCTGATTTAATGAGACAAGTCAGCATGTTGTTTTAGTGAAAACGTATATTGATTTTGTGTCGTAGCAAGAAATTACATAATGAGAATGAAATGTCAAAATACCATTAAATATGTTACAGTGTAAAATAAAATTGCAGCAAGATGTTTGTGGATCTTTAATTAATTATGATCTGAGAAAATGTATCTTCATAAAAACAACTGGGCAAATATCTTCTTGTCATTGTGGCAGCCACACACTGCCACAGATAGCTATAAAAACACACCAATATGCCAGAAAACATAAAATCTAATCATAAAATCGTATTAAACATAATGGAATGGTCGCGAACAAAGCATTATAGTGTGGGTTTATATACGAGTGTGTAAGTGGTGGTGTTTGTGCGACTGCTCACCAGGGTACTTTCCTCCCTTATTCCTCTGGATGAAGCAGATAATGAGGAGGATCAGGATGAGCAGAGCGATGGCACACATGAGGCCAATGAACCATCCCTGAGTGGCGATGTCTACCTGTCGGCTCGCCACAGCTGGCCAGAGGAGGAGAGGAAGAGACATAACATTTATGACTGGATGATCTTTTCCCATTGGGACGGTAAAATAGAAATATTCATCCACAGTCATGTGCTAAAACAAATGTGTAACAAGCCATTCACTTGGTATCTATTTGTTAGAGAAATCCGTTCATGAGTGTGGATCATGATTGCTTATTGTCACAGAAAAGGACGACTTTCATGTTGGAGAAGTTAGAAATCTCCTAGATTAAGCTAATGGTGACTTAGACACATTATCGAAACCACATTAGTACACAGCGTAGGAAATCAATCCGTCTCTGACAGGTGCACACACACAGACAGTCACAGATACACACAGATAACACACACACACTGTACGTACGGAGGATTACTGTTGGTGATATTAGGTGGGATATATATCACTAAACAGATATCAAACTTCTATATGAGGATTACCAAATCTACAGGACTGACTTTAATTCAACTGAAATGAAACCACACAATCATGCACGCTGCTACACACTGTCTCTCTATCGCTACAGTACATGCCTGGCATACAGAGCCACCACAACACATCTGTTAAACCCATGCTTGACTGGATTATGACTACACAACGGCACCAACTACCACACGGTTCACACACGGAACACAGAGCAAGGCCAGGCCGGGCCAGACCATGGTGGAGGCGACCGCCGAGGAACTGCCTCACCTGGGACCGAGACCAAAAGCTCCTCAGACAGGTGGAGCGGCTGGTCGTGGTGACCTTTGGCCACCAAACGCACCCTATAGGAAAGGCCCCCCTTTAAGCCCTTCAGCATAACATTCTGAGTGCCGTTCACAAGCTCTTTCTTCCACTCCTCTTCACCTTCACCTGCAGGAGGGACGTTCACGAAGAGAGGTACGTTTGAGGGAGCAAACACTTCAAATGGGATCATGACATCACGGGATCACGGGATCTAATTACTTGAACAAACATCTACTTACATAGGATTACGCTGCAAATAATTCTGTCTATATTAGATTTAAACTGTTAATATTCATGGGATTATGGAGTTCTAAAACCAATTAAGTCTATGAATTAATTATTGCCCTGAAAGTAAAAACACACTGTAATTTAAGAAAACACATTTCCCAACTTCACTAACACGTGCAGCATGCTGCAACAAAGAGGAAACATGACCATATACAGAAATGCTGCAAGTTGCACAGGATGCAACTAAAATGAGTTACAAAGCAGACGTTTCTAGGGGATGACAAAAAGTGCTAAACACAACTGGAAACTTGTTTTGTTACTCACTTGTGTCACAATCTGCTGGATTTGCAGTGGTTTGTGATCGTTTACTGTATTAGGTTGTGCTTTCTGTATGTTTTTATCTCACTTTGCAGCATTTTTAGCCATGGCAGCCGCATGGCTCGCGGCTGGAGATGTGAGTCTGTTGCTGTGCACGTGTTGTCAAATTGGTGGAGATCTTTTCTTCGTTTAGCTTTTCTTGAGTCCATTTGCACGCGTTTCTTAAGTTGCAGTGTGTCGAACTCTCGGGGCCACAATGAACTATACATGTGGTGATGAGCTAAATATGACACGACTGATGAGCACAAGATATTGTTTTTGATGACAACATTTTTCTAAATTACTGGGAATCTATGATTATGATATTCCCTAATTGAATCCATTGAAACAGTAGGTGTGAGAGAGCCATACTACAAACAACACAGTTTTTCGTCCTCACTGCAGGTGGATAAAAACAATGGAGAGCGCTTCAGTCAAAATTGGTTGGCACAACAAGAATGCTTGTTCTGCCTTTTATGATGTTTGTCTGCATAAGTTCCAACGAGATTGTTAACGGGAGCTGCATGCAACCCCAATCAATAACAGGCCTGGTTAATTAGAAATCCAATCACAGACAGCCTTGTTTATCACATCTGGGTCCACGTTGGCAGGAGCCAGCGTCAACGTGACTGCCAATATTTCTATTCACCTGCACATGCCAATAATGAAGTAGGAGTCTCTTGCCACCTATGTGTGGAACTGAAATAAAGGTGTGTTGCTTTGCTTACTGTTTTTCACTATGTATTCTACATAAAAGTTTTGCTCGGGGCCCCAGTACTCCCAACTGATCAGGGTCCCGTCCTCTCCAGACAAGGAGCTAACGTTCCCGAAAGGATTCACAGGCCGCGCTGAGCACACAAAAGAAGAGACAACCATCAAGCTCGGTCTGTTGGTCAAAAGACAGTCCAATAACTGGCAATTATTTGCTTTGATTTAATAAATTAAGTCCCAATAAAAGCTCTTAGCATCACCAAATCTAGAACCAGCAAATGCCCCCCCCTGTGGGACTAACAAAGGATTATCTTATCTTACCTCATAGCCTGACACGATAGCAATTTAAAATGGGGACACTATGCCAGCAAACAAAGGAATACACAAAGCTGATCATGTAACAAATCGGACATGTACAGTAGTGTACTAAGATCACAGCAGTATCTGTACCCTCGTGGGGCGGACGGCGTGGAGGAGACCGTGCAATGGGATGAGGGGTTTGCGTGTTTCCTGTAAACAACATGGAGAGGGGTGAAGACCGCACCACACACACGAGACACACACAGAGACACCACAGACACTGAAGTCATCATACACAATGCACACAGTTCATTGGCATGCCAAGCAAACGCTTGTCATGCAGCGGGGAAGCATCACTAGAAGCCAGCGTGGAAGAAGTGAGTAAGAGGACCAAAGTCGCCAAAGGCACAAGTAAAAGAAAAAAGAAAAAAAAACAGCAGAGACTCATGTAGTTTTATCACATGGCGTTAAAAAAGGCACGCGTCAAATAGCATCTTTATCGATGTGGCTTTGAACTTTACTCAGCTTTGAGCTCAGGTGGAGCATTGTGGTGCGCTGCAGAAATTGATAGAGACGAGGGGAAATTGCTCAATGAGTGCATGCTTGCGGGGGGATTTGAAGCTATGGCTGTAACTGTAAAAACATGCACGAGTCTAGATACGAGCGGTACCTGCGCCCACATCTACGTCATGCTGTGATATTAGAGCTTGTAGAGAGAAACAGGACAGAGAAAGAACAGGACACGGGTCACTATGGGAGGAACCCCCCCCCCCCCGCCATCTGTGTCACTGCATGAAACAGTAACAACATTCATGTTGCTCATGCAGAGAAATATAACAGACGAAGTTTACAGCGGCATGGGTCACCTCATGTAACAATGCAACTGGATCACACTCATGTTCCACTCGACGTGGATGAAGAGCTTGTGTATGTCATGCTACTGAATGTAAAATGCTAAAAATAAAAGACGATGCTCTGGAAGAGTGCGCATCATACATGGCAGAATGACAAGGGTGTGACATTCACAAAACACACGACAATGTTCTGACTCAACAATTAATGTCTTGAGCAAAACTGACAAAATTGTCAGTTAATTAATTGTTCAGTCTGTAAAATGTCAGAAAATAGTAAGAAAATGCAGATCATAATTCTGCAGTTGGCACCTTCAAATTGCTTGTTTTGTCAGCCCAGCAGTCTAAACTACAACATACTGTATTTACTTATAAAACCAGCGCATTTTTAGATTTGAGGCGAAGGAATGTTTACAATTCTCGTATTTAAAAAAATCACAATAAAATGTGCTGTTGATGCCGTCAAGTGTCAACTAATCAAATTGACTTTACAGAAAACACACAAAAACAAAACGCCCTGATTCACAATAAAGAGCATTTCACTGTCTGGAGGAATGTTTTTCAATGCAAACCAACAATTTCTTTAATTTGAGAAGACACACACAGCGAGGTGCAACCAGTGTGAGCTTCAATGGGACTCCATCCAAACTTTAAACATGTCACACGACTCCTATCCAGAACACCATGCTTCATTCTTCAAATGTTTGAGGTTGGATTCTGGTTTCCTCACTCATGAAATATGGTGTACTGACGAGTTCTGTAATGCATTTTCTTTTGGCATGGACTTCATACTTTGTAAATATGATCTGTAAATCAATAGCATGTTTGGATTATCTCACCTGAGTTATAGATATAATAATTCATGTCAGTCAGCTTTCCAGTTGAAGAAACATGAATACAATTAAGGTCATTTACTTTCAACAGTCTGCATTTGCTGACTTACCTTCATCCACGATGGTGACAGCTTCCTGAGAAATGGCCAGGCCTGCTCCCCTGACTGTTTTCGCATTCAAATAAAACTTGTAGCGCGTGCTGTACTTGAGGTTGAGCAAAGTGACTGAGGTCTCATTGGCGGGCAGGGCCAGCTCCTCCACTGGGCCCAGCTCATTGGAGTTATTGACTACTGGGATGGAGGATGGGTGAGAAGAATAATTGGGACGGGGATGGAGGTTGGGAAGCAGTGAGATAAGTTGAATAGAGGTATGAGATGGGGGAGGTCGGAGATGGGGTCGCAGTGTCAGTGATGAGAAAGGTGGAAATGAAAATGTTTGGGGTACAGAGGTGTAGGGTTCAGGAATAGAAGACGGGAGTGACAAAAGTTGATTTGTTAATTTGTGTTGTAATTTAGGCAAAATAACTTGCTTGAAATGCTCTTAGTACTACTCTAAATTTTTCTTATAATCTCTGAACAGGATGACACTACAAGACATGACAAAGGAAGACATACAAACTACATGAAGGAACTAGGCAAAGATATAGAAGTCCGATAGAAAAAAAGCCTCACCTGGCTGATATTTGAGGGTGTAGCCAGTGATGCGTCCATTACGGTCATGAGGAGGACTCCATTCAAGGGTCAGAGAGTCCAGGTTGGGATTGGTGACTACCAGGGAAGTAGGAGCACCCGGCACTACAGAAAACACATTTATCATGAAAACTTACACAAATTCATCCATGTAAAGCTAAACAGGGCTCAAAATTATATTTTAAAGGAATTTTAAAGTCCCCCTTTCACTTAAAAATGTTTTTTAATTTGTTTGGATGTTTAACATTTTACGTTCATCTGCTAAAGGAGGAAAGTTTCTCTGTGCTCAACTCACAGTCTTAAACGTGTAGAAGATGAAGCATGACTTTGTGACATCCCAACTAGTTTGAAAGCCAATCGTGGTTCAATATGCAACTTGCACACGTTTGATGCTCGAAACTTCCAGCGGTAATGCACTGAGATTGGAGTTTTCAGTGAAGTAGAAGGCAATTTGTTAAACTAGAAAATATTAGCTTATTAATGGATTCTGGATTGTTTTTCAATGAGGGAGAAGCAGAAGATGTGCATTTAATGTTTGAAAAATCAATTACCTAGTGAATAATTTCAGACAGAAATTATGACAATTACATTAAGATTTAATAAACATAATACTCAAATTTGTATTATTTGACGTTGTTGTATTAAAAACCCAGTGAAACAGAAGTTCGAGTGTCCTCAGCTTCTGCACGGTGACACATTCTCCAGTGAAACGGAACATTTGATCGGTAGTTACAAAAGAGATTTAAATCAAATCCCTTGCATTTGATTGGACCGCTAAAGCGTAGGCTGGCTTAAAATGCAGCACTATAGAGAGCAACAGAGACCAGACACACACACACACACACGCCTCCATCGTTGCTAAAAGCTGCAAATTGATTGATGGGTGATGTCAATTAATCTGTTGAAATTGTTTGGTACTCTCTTATGTAAGCACACGTCATATTTCGTTTTACAGGAAGGACGTATGATTGGATTTAACATAGATTAAGTGATATTTGGTATTATATATACAGTATGTATATATATACGTATATATATAGTTAAATAGGTGCACCATAGGACAGTAGGTCTCAGTTGTGATAAAATACAAAGAAACAAAGAAACAGAGTATTCCTTGTCTTACCTCCTTCAGGTGTATCAAACCGCAGGGTGGGGCTGGGGGGACCCTCTCCCTTGCCGTTATAAACCCTGACATTGAATGAGTAGCGACTGAAGGGGTGCAGGCCAGGCAGCATTCTGTGGGTGTGGTTCCCACTGAAGGTCAGGATCTGGTTCTCCATTAGATGGGGGTTGTGTTTGTGGAGGCTGTGCTCTCTCCAGTAGTACACCTACGAGTTACACAGTTAGTATACAATAAGAGGTGTGTGTGTGTGTTATGGAAGGCGGGATTGGTGTACATGTTACACTGTACCTTGTATCCTTTGAGATGTCCTCGTATTAATTTAGAGGGAACAGGATCCCAGTGCACCTCTGCCAGAGTGCTGTTTAGCAACACCGCCTGCACATTCTCTGGAGCTGCTACTGGCACTGTACAATACCGAGTAAATGTTTTAGGTTACACAGCCCAATGTATCCCCTCCAGACTCTTGCACATAATTAATTTTGAAGTCGATCCAACTCACAGTCCTCTCCTGAGTAGCCGTGGGCAATAGCAGGCTCAGGTCCAGCTCCGTGGTCGTTCACTGCCTGAACTTTCAGCTCATAAGGAACAAATGTGGGCGTTCCAGACACAACAAACTTGGAGTTGTTAGCCACAGTCACTGTGGTCCAATCGCTGTCCACCACCTTCTGCCTCCACATTACTTTATAGTGAAGCCCTGGACCGTTAGACTGGAGGCCTGACAGCGGCTGCACAGGAGAAAGTTGCTGATTTTTCATTACTTAATTTTTTTCAGGAGAAACAATGACTGTACGCCATAATGTATATGTTTTTTGGCAGATGATAGGAATCTCATAAGAGCAGGCAATAACAAAATCATGCTTCACAGTACAAGGACACTTTTCTCATGGTACTCCCTGGACAACAGTAAATGCTTCAGGATTAAAACAGATGGCTTCATACAACTTTATTACCTTCCATGAGATTACAAGATTATCATGTTCTGTTCCAAATCCCTGTACACCTGTTGGGTTCTCGTCTGGAGCTAAAATAACAATAAAGACAATATGAAAAGGTATTTAAAGGAAAATCTGAGGCTCAGCTCAAAATCTGACGAATATGCTTTTGTTACCCGTTTACTCACAAAACAGTTGTGATTTTAGAGAAAGATCGTTTAGAATATTATTTAGTATCCAGTATTTAGTAGTATTTAGAAGATTGGTAGATTATTTATCTAATATTTAAGCGTGACACAATGAATTTACAGAGTGAAAACACACAAGGCCTCAGAAACACACCCCAAGCAAAAGGCGGAGGAGTCTGTACCTGCAGATTCTGTCTTAACCATTCTGGACGGGAAGCTGGGGCGGCTGAAGTCCACAGCGTTGAGGGCCAAAACTCTGAAGGTGTAGTGGATGTATGGTGACAGTTTGAGGTGAGCTGTCGTCCTGGTGCCGGGGACCTCGGTAAGATTATGCCAGTGCCCTCGGTGGTGCAGGGAGTCTTCATACTGGATCAGAAATTCTGTGGAAAATTTTTTAAAAAGTATTGTACATGACTGGGCACTTGATACCCTGCTTGACGGTATATTTGCATAACTGAAATAAATGCCCTCAAGTAATTTTTGGATGCTGTAACTCAAAGCATGCTGTTAAAACTTCACCATTGTAACCAATTATTTCAAGCTGACCTCAGCTGTCACTGAAGAACCTGCACTCCGTTACGAACCCCTTTCAGTCCTGTAGGGTCGGTTGTGTTTTCCAAAAGACACATTTGGTTGATTTTTCCCTTTTTTCACTGACTATCTTATCGGTTGATTGTAATTATGGATTTTCATAAATCATTGTGATTTTGTTCACATATGGTAAATGTCAAAAATGTAATTAATCAAAAGGTGAATTCAGTGATTTAGTTTTGCATCTTAATAATGTTGGGAGACTCATCAGAGACAATTATCTTTTTAAAGTCAAAATTGATGCAGCAGAGGCCAAGATATCTTTTAGTCCCTGTATGGATCAAGCTCCAAAAATGCCCGATACTACAATTCCCATAATGCAACTTAAAAGCATGTTGAATTAGACCCTCCTTGCATCCTAAATGCCAACTTCTCTCAATCGACACGTTTTTAATACAGGCTTTCCTTTAGAAGATAATGAAAATATCTCTATTCATATGTGAAATAAGTGAATTGTCCCTTTAAAAAAGTTACGCCTTCGCATAAAAATCCCAAACAGACGCCGATAAATACACCCTGATACAAACACACATAAGACATACTCTGAATAGGACTGTTATGTTCATCCCCAGGGATCCAAGTGAGCTGAACACTCCTCTTTTTGTGGTCTGTCAGCTCCAGGTCAGTTGGGGGGTCGGGTCGCTCTGAGGGGAGAAACAGCACAGGCAGAAACATCAACACACAGTTACAGTTACAGAATATGGAGGGTTCATGCCACGAGAAGATGAAGCAAAAATAAAAGAGGGTATCTGGTTACATGAATGTGTTTCTCTGATACTGGTATCATAACAAATTCTGTGTATGTTGGTTTAACCAAGCATACCTTTCAGTTACTCCTGTGTTTCTTTACATGTTACATTAGACCGTGTTATGTGCGCCGTGATGCACATGCAGACGCCGCACCATGCAAATGAACCGACTGACGCTCAACTGAGCATCTTCCATAATCACTCTGCATGAAATAGAGTCTCGGGCTCACCAGAGAGGTGAAATTGATGCTCATGTTTTGGAATTGTAATGATAGAGTGAAACGCATGCTTGGAATAAATGAATCATGAGGAAATGGAGCATTTGAAAAGAATCCAACCGGTGCTTTGGGGAGATGTCTGCTTTACAAATGATCTTGGGTATGAGTGGAAATTTCCTCCCTTTTGCCGAAATGTTTAGTGTTTGATGCATTCAAACTTTATGCATTTTTGTGAAAATGGAAAAAACATACAATTCATTTAGAAATAAATAAAAATACAAAAATGACGATAAAAATAAATCAAAATAAAATACAAAAAATACAAAAAATGCACTGTGATTGTCCAAAATAAATCTTCTTAAAACATGCTTCACTTAACAATAACATCCAACAAACAACACCAGCCCATGTCAGCTGAGCACATCTGGGTGCTCTTGTGTGCCGCGGGTTTACCGTAGACAACAGCTGGTGTCGTGGCCTCTGCCAGGTAGGAGGACAGGAGTGAAATAGGGAGTTTAGTGGTCAGTCAGCCATAAGAAAACAAAAGATTATCTGGCTCGCTGAGAAGACAACAATCAAATATTCACGCTGCTGACACGATAGCTGACTAAAGCCGTCCTGACCCTCAGTAAACTCTCAGGCAATTAACCTTGACGGGCTGAAAGGCAATCTGTCTTGTCAGTTATTGGACAGATTCACTTCTCTGGGAAGAGCTGAGGTGGAGAGAAGTTTACACTTTAATAATTTGTGAGTTTGTTTTCCGACTCAGTGAAATTGAGCTCCGGCAAAGCTGAACATACCGACAACAGTGAGCTCAGCGCTGGCTGAGTCATGGTCCAGAGTGGTGTTCATGATGCAGGTGTACACCCCCGCATCGCTCTCTGTCACATCAATGATGGTGAGGCTGTCAGAGTCTACGATTAATCTGTGAAAAAAGCATTTAAACAGACAGTTTAGCGATCCATCTGATTGAATCAAATCTTGTTTTTTAAAAAGGTAGGATTCATTTAATAACTAATTAATTCATAACTAATGTAGACGAACAGCAAACACAGGTCTAAGAAGTGAGAGTTGTGCAGGCAGCTCTGACCTCTCGTCATCGGGCAGCTCTCCGTCGTCTTTGAGCCAGGTCATGGTGGGGATGAGCGAGGGGTCGTGTTTCACCTTACACTCAAACACCACAGACCTGCCCATCTGGACCACTTTGTACTCCGGCTGCTTCAGGATTCGGGTGGGCTCTGATGGGAGAGGTTTTATTCATTTGACTTTTCTTGTGGATCTTCTAATAGTTGGACACCGTAACCAGAAATGTTTGACATATATGAACTTTAAATACCCAAATTGTACATGCTTAATCATAAATATCCCACTGCAATAGCATCGTGTGAGTTATGAGCTAGTTGTGATGATCATATTTGGATCTTAAGTGAAGAAACGCTCTCACCTTTGACCTCCAGATAGATGTGGTTCTCGTAGATACCGAGGATGTTTCTGGCCACACATGTGTATTTGCCACTATTGTGAGCTTGAGCGACGTGGATCTCCAAAGTCCCATTGTCATGCAGGATGTAAGGGTCTCCATCGAGGGTACTGGACCGACTGTCTTTGAACCTGAGACAGAGAGGCAGCCACTGTGAGCTTTGTGAAGCAACACAAAACGCTCTCCTCAGTTAAAAGGTCATTAACTCACCATGTAATTTTAGGGATGGGTGACCCGAAGGAAGCGCAGTCTATCAAGGCCTGGTGATTTTTGATGATCTGGTAAACTTTGTTGGCTTGTGTCAGCACTCTGGGCGGCTCCGCTGCAGTGAGGCAGCAGCAATTATTGCAAAGTTATTTATTACACTACGGAAATCAATGTAAATGGGGAACAGCCTTCTAATACAAATGGATCTTGTGAAATGAACTTACAGAGCACATTGACGAATGCGTTGGACAGCAGGTAACCGAAGTCATTGGAGACATTACACTGGTAGACGGCGCTGGATCCAGTCTGCACATCAGTGAAGATGATGGTGTCGTCCTCCACCTTTCTGCTGAGATCCTTCGGGGAATCTGTTTGTGGATAACAGAGGTTACAGATGTAACAGATGTAACTCTGGCTCTTTAATTCCCGATTAATCTTATTGAGAAGATATTTCCTCATTTACATCATCATTTACCTTTATTTTTTTAAAGTTATGTTATTGCTGCACTTTGGAAAAAATGCCTTATTGTCAAATTAAAGGAGAAGCTACAGCCAGCAGCTGGTTAGCTCAGCTTAGCATAAAGACTAAAAACACGGCGGAAAGCTAGCATGGTTCTGTCCAAAAGTAACAAAAACTGCCTACAGAACCTCTAAAGCTCCCAAATTAAAAAGTAATATCTCACTTGTTGAACCGGTACAAAAAAGCAAACCCTATAATCAACAAGTTATGGTTTATATATGTCTTGGCTAGGTGTAGTGACTTCCTGAAGTCTCTCTGCTGGTTCAATAACTTCCTGTTACTCAAACTCGGGTAACGTAAATATAAAACATCAACAACATATGGAAGAAAATGCTACACAATACCGAGATATTTACAAATCAGAACCAAAATCATGTCTCAAATATAAAAATTCACAGCTGCTCTAAAATGAATGAGGCCATAAAGAGTGAGTTTCAGACTAGGGAACAGGTTGCACTCACTCTCTATGGGGACGCCGTTCATAGACCAGGAGACGGAGGGCTTGGGCGTGCCACTGGCCCTGCAGGTCAGCACACTGCTCTCTCCCGGAGCTAGGACAAGGTTCCTGGGGGCGCCGCTGATCCAATATGGAGCAGCTGAAAATAGAACAGAGCGCAGCAGAAGGCTGGAGAATTAATCACTGAACATGCTGCCCTGTTGGCATCTGTGCATAAATCCATTATGAGATGGAGGGAGAATGAAGAGACAGAAAGAGGGATTGTCTGTGTCGCCACACATGGTGAACGAATGGCCTGATGAGACACCGCGCACTTCATCACAGACACACCTTTGACCGTGACGTGGATGGTGTGGTGCACCGAGCCCAGCGGGTTCCTGGAGGTGCAGCGGTAATCTCCTGCGTCTGACTCAGACGCGTCCACAATCTGGAGGGTCTTCTGGTAGTGCAGGAAAGATGTGCGCTTGGCCGGGAGGTCGCCGCTCACTTTGGTCCAAGATATGTCAGGGGTGGGCCTGGATTCAAATAGAAAGAGAGAGAGGGAAGAGACAAAGAGAAAAAAAAAAAGTGAGGATGGCACTTGAGCAGGTGGGCACTTGAGGCTTTCAGGGCTGAAGTAATGGCGGATTCTTTCACTTACAGTCCTTCGGCAATACACTCCATCTCCAGCACCTGTCCTCTCAACACCATCTTGGAGCTGGAGGGGCCAGATGGGATGAGGAAGGTTGGCTTCCTCTCATCTGCTGGGTCTTCTATAGTTACACATACATATGCACAAAGAGAACCATTAGCAGCTCTTCTGCATTTGTCCATAGCAGAGGGAAGATCCAGGCCTTAAACAGACCCTTCACATTCACAATCCTTTCTTCTCTGCGGTGTAATGTAACCTCTCTCCTACAATGGGTCTGCAATGCACGGGCACTGAGCCACTTCATTACACACCATATTCTCATATTTTATGGTTTGATGTAAATTTTATTGTCATGTTGTGTTGTCTGTGGGTGTTTATAGCCAATGAATCCCCCTCTGGGGTTAAAATAAAGACTCAAATGAATCTGATACGGAATTGAGAATTAGAGACAATAAGAGCTGCTTTCTGCTACTGAATGTGTTAAGAAGTAATCTGCTACACCAATAATACAAAAGTCAGACTTAATGTTTATGATGATGGTGATGATGATCTATTAACACCCTGGCACGTGAGCAATTCGATGAGGAGCTGCTTGCATGTTTCGGGTTAGAAAAGGTGTGTTAAAGTTTACACAAAGAGACAAAGCAGAAGATATTTGGAGCAATTAGAAAAGAAGTGATGTGAAAACGATTGGTGACAGAGAGAGATTAACAACTAGCTGCGCTTTAACATTAGGCAGGGCAGCCGGTAAAGAGTGATTTTGAAAATAAAGATTGCAGCCGGCTGTTTGACAGGAAAGGCAAAGAAAGAGGAGCATTTTAACAAATCTATATTTACAGGAGTTGTATTAAGTGCTAATTCACTATTTATCATTAATCAGATTCATCAAGTCTGCACAGATGGTGTTACATGTCCAAGTTACACAATCAGCTCAGTTGACATTAGAATCATCATGCAGTGCTGGTTTAAGCAATTCACAGGAGGAAGTGAATAGTTATCAAAAGGGTTTTGATTGGATAGAGCAGGAGTGACAGAGGGATGGAGAATTACCTTCTTGGATTTAGGGGTTAGTGGGCAACAGCTTTAGTTTAGAGCTATATGTTTGGGGGTAAACACTAGGGGGTGCCAGATCTCACTACCAAATAAATCAGTGAGAGTGTGAAAAGCTTTGGGTTGTCCGGGAGAAGGGTTAGTGTTAGTGGGTAAAAACTAGAGTTTGGAGCTCTACGTTGAAGGGGGGGTAAACACTAGAGGGTGCCAAAACTCACCACTAAATAAATCAGTGTCATTGTAAAAAGCTGCCATTGTGTCATTGATTGCATCCACTGTAACACAACAAAAAGAATCAAACACGCAACAAGTTGAAATCATCAGGCACATGGAGAAAAAATAACAAATCAACATGAGTGTTCAGGATTAAAAGAAATCTGTAAAATGACTCAAAAGTTGGGAGATGATAAATGATAATCATAAAAATCTTGTGGGATGAAGAAATGTCAACTGCAAAATGTTTCCCTGAATGAGAGCGGTCTTTGTTGTTGGTGGAGAGTGCATATACAGAACATCTCACAGAAGTAATAAAATGCATGCCTGCCTGGCAGATAGCGCTGGGAGCCATGAGAGCTCTGACAATATGTCTTTTCAGTGGGATGACGACCGCTGGCGTCTCTGAGGATGGGATCAGAGATAGGGAAGGCTGTCTCCCTCCTACGCAGTCACGCTAGCACATACTACTGTGAATTAACTGCCTCTCACGCGGGCACGTTACACACAAACGTACACTCTCGGAGTCTCAGTGATGCTCACTAATTACACCCACATTTGACTTCCTTTAACTTGGTCTCTCTCACTCACACTCACACACACACACACACACACACACACACACACACACTACACACTACACATTACACACAGTCAGACTTACGATTGAGGACCGTGACGGTGATGGGTTGCTTCTGCTGGATGGTTTGTGTGTACGGGAAGCGGGCGTAGCAGATGTAGTCGTTCCTGGAATCCTCTCGGAGTACACTGGAGAAGTAAAGGTCTCCGTTTAGGGACTGGGACACCCTCCTGCTCTGCGGCAGCCTCTGGAAGTCTGAAATGTACCGCAAATTTAATAATTTGAAGCATACAGCAATTCACAATACAAGTTTTCATCGGAACATCGTTCTACTAAAGAAATAGCAGCGTGTTCTGTGGATTATCCCAAGTAACTGTTTTTGAAAAGAGGCATAAATCTATAGAAAATAACACTGATGGGGGTTCTTTGAGAGCAGACACATCAAGGACACATATCTAAGACTTGCAGACCGACCTGGGCTCATGGGAAAAACCAAGTCAGCAACAGTGTGCTATAATGTGCTCATGTTTGCAACTAAAACGTTATTTTCCACGACTCAAGCGCTCACTATCGTCCATCCAGAATATGATGGGAGGAGGCAGGCCAGCAGGGGGTCGACACGGCAGCACCAAGGACACGCCCTCCTGAATGACGAATGGCTTGATTGTCTCCTTCGACCACAAGGGGGACCCTGCATCGGTGGGAGAAGGATACACACATCAGTGGATGAGGAGTCTTGTAATTTGACATTGTCGCTGACATGACGACAGATGTGACGAGGTAGAACGAGAGGGATGATGCCTAACTGAATAACAATACGCAGAAGGGGAAATAAAAAAGGGATATTCGCTCTATCTTACATCCTACATGCAACCTTTACCTTCCAGGAGTGCTCTTAAGATGGAAAAGGCAACTTAATTGTTAGAAAAAGAAAAGAAAATGGAATGATGAGAGAAAGATGTGACATATGCATGACATTAATATAATGGAGGAGAAAGAAAAATGAAATGATAGGCTGCACCACACTTACTGGACTGTTGTACGACTATGTTGTTGGAAACAGCAGTTCCGTGTTTGTTCCGTGCTGTGCACTGGTACACGCACTCGTAATGCTCGGCCTTCGCTCTGCTGATGTCCACCACCAGGGTCCCAGTGTGGGGCTTCATGGTCACGTTGGGGTCTTCGTCGATGTCAAAGTGGGTCCCATTTCTGGTCCAGGAGAAACTGAGGGGGAAAAAAACAGACCAGTGTTATAATAGTGTCCACAGGTGAGAAACTGTGTTGTGATAGTCTGGTGAAGTGTACAGGCACAACACTGTATAGTAATAAATGTTTTAAATGATACTGAGAAAAGGTTAGACACATGTTTACTGGTTAGGATGGAGAAATAGCTTTAAAATGATGTCACATACTGTATTTCTGTGCACCAATCAGAGGTTTGCAACATTTAAATCAAAGCCAATCAATTCTCAAGTCCTGATAAAGCCGTTTAGCTTTTTGACTATAAATTCTAGCATTGATTTAATGCTTAAAGAGAAATTCTTATGATTTCAATTCAAGTTTTCATGGGGCTTTAAAGCAGCCTTTCAAAAGATTCAATCTCTTTTGCACTTGCTGGGTTGAGAGTTACATAAGACTTTTCAGGGTTAAGGTTATGTTCAAGTAAAGTGAAGGTTCAGGTCTAATGAATAGATTCTGTAAATGAGGGTCCTTGACAAGTATTGAAGTACAGTGCGTTTGCATGCAGTGTTGGTGCCAGCAAATGTATGAGGCGTTCACACTGAGATAGATGAAGCAAAGAGGATGCCATAACTTGGAGCGAAAGATTCAAAAGCATTAGCTACAATCATCAATTGGCAGGGGTAGCCGGTGCATGGATAAAATTCATTCTTTATTTATCGTAGCTTGAATAAACCAGAACTTTACTCCTCACATTTAGACTGAAATTCTGGAGACTTCACAGATTTCTACCTGGGGTGTGGCTTGCCCTTCGCCTCGCAGTGGATTACAATGTTCTCTCGTGGGTCGATGATGTAATCCTTGGGGGACTGATGAGTTATGGTCGGTGGCTGCGGCACTGAAGGCGATCAGAAAGAGTGTGATATTTAATCATGACCTTTACTGCATAACTAAGCCTTTTTCTGTAGCTGTATTGACCACACAAAGCAGCCATTACCAATCACATGCAGACTCACCACACTGAATCAAACCAGACGGCTGTTTGCAGACAAGACACGAAAAGCTCTCGTAACATTGGCAACAGCAGAAAAAGGGCCATGCGGCACACTCAGGTACCTTTCCCTTTATTGTAATGATCCGATGCTTAATGTGTTCCCGTCAGTGCTGGGGAAATAACTAATGGACGATGACGACACAAATGATACTCATGCTCTTTGCAATAATGCTCTTCGGAAAAAAACGCTCTACCACTGCAGAAACACACAGCAAACAGAGAAACAAAGAGATCAATGCATGCAATATGTTTAAGTCCACTCCAAAACACACTCAAAATATAATACAAAAATAAAATTTAAATAAAAAAGATCAAACATAGCCTTTAATGCACAACAAAAACACTAGCACAACCTCTGCAGTGAATGCACACCAGTTTGAGACTTACATCCTTCCAGAACTTTAGTGTTTTCCCCCAAGAATCAGCAAACAAGAAAGAAACATTGTGACAGTAAAGAGAACCGGACATTAGTGGAGGAAAAAGATCTCCCTGCATTATTTCAGCTTCAAACATAGTTTAAACAAGGCCAGCTCCCAGTTGTGAAACGACCAGCCTCCAGTGGTCAACAGCTCCAACCAAACGATATGTAGCAGACCTACAACAGTAGAGTGCCACCGTGACATCAAACTGTGGTGCAGGAAGTCAGGCTGGAATACTTGTCGCTATTCCACATCAGTCTTAAGGAGGAACAATAATTGCTTTACAAAACCAAGACAAAATTTCCACCAAAAATATAAACATTAAAACAGGAATTGGACCTGAGAAATAGGTAGATATGTAGACCATATATCGATAGATGGGTAGAGTAAATGTGATTAGAGCTGAAACAGCTGCATTCAATTAATCAATCCTCAGAACATTAATCTGCAGCTGTTTAGATAATAACATATTTATTTCATTCAATATTCAAGCAAGAATGCCAAACAGGCACCAGTTCCTGCTTTTCAAATTTGAGGATTTGATGCTTTTTTTGTCGTATATACGATAGCAGACTGAATGTCTTTGTATTCAGCTTTTTAGGTTAGATTTTGGTTTTTTATTATAATTTCACATTGGGCATTTTTCACTAGTTTTTGAGATTATTATTTTATAACCGTTAAATACATTCCTCGGTGTGATGATATCAAACAGTGTAACACAAGATGAACCATCAGGGAATTTTCACCAACCAAATTCTCAATTTGATAAAATACGGATTGACGGTGACAATTATTTTCCAAATCAATCAATCTGATTATTTTGTCTTCCAACTAAGGAATAGTGAAACATTTTGGGGAAAAGTCGTATTCACTTCATTGCCAAGAGTTACATGAGAAGCTTACAGCCACCCTCCTGTTTGTATGGTAAATATTATACTGAAAACAGCTAGTTAGCTTAGCTTAGAACAATGACTGGAAACAGGGGGAAACAGCTAGCCGGTCAGAAGATTGAGAAAGTAGCCCGCAGTTACAGTATATATCAAAATTGCTTGTTTTGTCCAAATAACAGTCTAAATCCAAAACACATTCAGATTTTCCTCACATTTGATAAAGAAAAGCAGCAAATCCTCACATTTGAGAAGAAGCGACCATTAAATTGTACTTTTGCGCAGACATTAGTCCGTTGACACTCTCGTGGATATAAATGCATTCTGTGGTGTGTGATGTGTTGCCTTACGGTCTAGTGGGACCTCCAGCGTTGTGGCGAGGTGTACCAGGAACAGCACCAGCAGTGCTGCGTCCATCCTCCTCTCCATCATCGGTGTGTGACACGAAGGTCTGCCCCCAAATACAGCGACGCCCCGCCTTTCTGCTCAGTCACACTGTCTGAGGACACGTGCTCATCAACAACTACAGGGAGAGAAAGAAAGAAGGAAAGAAAGAAAGACAGAAAGAGAGAGAGAGCGTCAGAGATAAGAGGGTAGAGGCAGGAACATCACTGGGTTGAATAGCACATCCAGTTACTGCTTATATCCATCATAATACTGAGTTTGTTCCGTTTTGTGCTCATGGTGAGAGAAAGAGAGAGAGAGAGAATGAGAATGAGAGAGATAGACACATACAGCTCTGGCCACAGATCAATGTTAGTTGCAATGCAGTGCAGTTTGCTGGAAGCTATCTTTTTGATCTGGTGTACTCCAATGCAGACCGACGCGGCTCACATGGTCTCACTTTGCTCGGCTAATCCCCGCCGTGGCCAGCGGTGCCATTAGGCCTCTCTGCCACATCGATCACATCAGCCGGCGGATGACATGCCGTTTGACAAAACAAGGGGACTTTACTTTCCATTTCACTCTCAGCTTTATCAGTTTGATTGACTGAGTGACGGATTGAGCCTGCAGCAAACTGATCCGCAATGAGGTCAGATTTCAGGCAGCGAACCATCACCCTTTCACAGAGACTGTCGACGTGGGAAACATCGTGTGTGATTGGGCGGATCTTCAATCTCTGACATCTAAGCGGACACCCTCCAATGAGGACAGATGTTACAAGTTCAACAGAGTGTTCAGGTTCAAGCAAGGCGACTTGTTTACAGGTTTTCCAAATGGTGAAAGGCTAATTGGCTATTGATTAACTGTTAATGGAGTGAGCATTTTCTTTTCCTTTGCTACACAACATAACTTAATTATGCCTCCATCACAACATCAGTCTGGATGGACTGTGAATAGACTGGAAACAAACATGTTTGTACAGTATTGAACAGGTTTGAAATCTTTCTCTTGTTGCCAGGCAGCTCAGTGTTGCCAAATCACACCTCCATCCAACCAGCAGCAATTATTTATGTGAGACAAAGCTGGGATGAAAGCAAAACGCTAACGTTGAGATAATCACTGCCAGGGTCATGAAAGCCAGCGTGCCCCCATGCTTCAGAGAATAATCATAACTCCTCGGTCATAATGACTTTGCTCAATTTAATTCATATTCGTCTGCATAATTCAGCACTGTCACAAAGAACTGAGCAGTATAAGTCATTGTTTTCCTGTGAGCAGCTTGCAAATGATCAGTAAAAAAAGGTGAAACGGAACTCATGAGGAGTCGTTTTTCTATCTTTTAAAAACTAGTCTGATCTGTTTTTATCTTGCTCTCCTGTCTGTCTTACCCCAGGCATCCGCTGGCACAATATTCAAATGTCACAGCTCAATTTGGAGCTCAGGCAGAGTAATTTGCAGCGTTATCACAAAAGCACATTATCAAATTTAGGATACTAATGCCGGTTACTGTAGGAAAGAATCAAATCGAGCCCATTAAGAGTGGAGCTGCCGGTGTGCTGCTCTCCTGCCTTTGGGTTTGGGGCGGGTCAGGGCTGCAGATGAGGTGGTGGGAGCTGTGTCTGGGACCAGAGGCTAGGCAGTCAGACCTTGGCCTGGTTCTCCTTGGGGATCTGATGTATTTGTTAGTGCTGCCCTACAGTCATGATTCGGCACCGGCGTCTGGTGGCATGGGAAGAGACCAAGGTTAACGTCGGCTGCCCCCGGGTTCCACTACACCTCTCCAGGGAAGGCATGTATTATACGCCTGGGGTAGCCAATCCCACTGCTGTTTGACATTAACAGATCCAGGGAGGAAGCGAGGGGGGAATCTCATCAAGCTAATAGGCTGCAGGGAAGGAGAGGTGTTTGCAACAGCACTGAGCAGAAAACCTGCAACACACCTTTGTCATCAATGTTTATTTTCAATTTGCAATGTGTTCGGAATTTACAATCAGATGCCATTTATGTAAACTCCACCCATGACGATTAGTTAAGAATTGCATTGTTATAATTTGCCAAATACATTTTGTTGATGTAAGAAGGTGTTTAAGATCTCTATCATTTGTAAACAAGACATTTAAAAAAAAAAAGCCTGAACTTGGCAGTGCACAGTCACAGGTGAAGTAAAAAAAAAAAGTGGAGGGGCAGCATGCGACAGCAAGAGTATAAATGTGTTAATTATACATCTTATGGTGAATCCTCGAATGCCTAGTGATTGTTATCTGGAAAGGAGCCAGGGCTTCATCCAGGATTCATTTCCCAATTTAATGAGGTGTAGCAGCTCAGCTCAAGCCGGTCAGCATGTGTGTGTCTCTGTGTGCATACTATGTGTGTGCCTGTGTTCATTTGTGTGTAAGTGTGCTATAATTATCCCTGTGAGCTGCAGTGATATGGGACCAACCCCTTACATCCCTCTCACAGCAGGACGACAGTGGAAACTCAAGTGGGGCTCTTAAGACGTGAAACTAACCACCAGAAACGACTGACATCCTGCCTGAACAGAGAGCATACAGATGAATTAAAACAGCCAGACTTCACCCTATTTAAATCAAGCAGTGGAGTATTCAAGTTCTTAATTCTAAAACTTTCACTTTACCGATGTGACATGAGGCAGAAGCTTGCATAATGAGTGTATTCTGAGCTTAAGCCCTGCACCTCGAAGAGGAAACTACAGTTCACAGCCCACTTCTCATATGAATATACAATTCTTCGAGTGGACACGCAATCAGAAAATATCCATCACAATTGTTGAACTTCCTATGCATCTTGTGCTGACGGAACTGGAAAAGCCAAAGTCAATAAGGCTCACTTCGGCACAGACTGCTGAGGCCGGGATAAAAACATGGTAGTGTTTGGAGTGCTGTGCCAAAAGCGGTCAGACTGCTGATGAAATCGAACAGGAAATGGTCTCTTCGAAAAGAAACGTGGCAGGTTGGTGCACTTTCAGCGAGGAATTTAAGCAATTTTTCAAAATAGATGAGGGCAAGAGGCTGATAAACAGAGCTACTGTATAAAAAAAACAATAGTTACTAAAGGCACTACCTCATGGTGACAACTCCAAGAGTACTTGAAGAGTACTAAAAAGGACCAAAACAGTGTATTGACAAGTTTAAACTCCTAACTTCTTTAACTTATGTTTTAGCCATTTGGGTAAATCACCTTTTAAGTGTATATGACAAACAAGTTAGCAAACAGTTGCTTATTTACACGCAAAGCAGATTCAGAGCAACATCATTATGCATTTGAAGTCGTTTTGTGGCCACCTGATGAATGTGCACTATTCAGCCTTCTCTAAGCTCTGTGTTTGGTCTCCACTAACTACTGAGAGAATGATCTGGCTCCTGAGCTGCTAAATGCGCCACTATGTTCACCAGCTAGTTGCTAACCGGGTCTGTCTGCCGTCTGGTGTTGCAAGTCAATGGCTGCCTGGATTGCTTGGAAAAACAACCTGAAACACAAACAGCATGGTTTACAAAATGGTAAGCTGTGATGTGAGGTAAATTAGATTTGTATTAAATGAACTAATGAATACAAAACCAGCTTTAAGGACCTTTAGATGCCACTACATAACCCATATTGTGTTTCTTCGATAGAAATCGGCACAATGAAATTCTCCAATGTTAATTACTGTCTGTAACTACACAAGACCCCCTTCAATCAGGACTCGGTTTTCTCTCCGTTCATTTTGTCCGTGGAGAAAACACTCTTGTGCTTGTGTAAAAGCTGCATTGAGCTGTCTGGTCACTCATTCTTCCAGCCTCTTCAATTAATCCATTGTCATTTTTTCCATGGCCAGCTACTTCACCCTCCCAAAACGAATTGGTTTTGTGCACATTTCAGAGGCGTAGCACATTGCAGCAACGCACACGCACACATACACACATAAGCAACCTATGCATGCACGCTGGCTGCAGAACGTGAGGGTCAGGACATGCCTGCGCACACAGATGGAGCTGACAGGGGCACGAGCTCTGAGAACTGAAGCACACCACGTGTAAATGAATAGCAGCCAGCAGGGGAAGAAGCCCAATTGAATTTCTCTTACAGCAACAGATAATACTACTCCATATGCTTTATGCTAACCACTAGTGAGGATACTGCCATTGTCTGTGCCAAACAACAGTAATGAAACACTGTAACGCTGACAGAATCACTTCCGTTGAATCAGTACTGTGTACAGTTTTAACATCCATGATGAAAGAAAAAGCCCTTCTCTCGTGCCAAGCACCCTAATTAACTCCTATAATCAGTGGTATTGATGGCTCATGAAAATGGGGGGTTTGTGAGCCTCGGTATGGCCTTAATGGAGCAGCGGGGATGCCCTACAGACGGCTGAATGCGGGGGTATAATGATGAGAATGGCTCGCATTCAGGAAGGTGGTGATGAGAAAACGGATACGGTTGGAAGAGTTTATTTTTCCGAGGCTGCCGGGCGCTCCCGCTGCAGCTCAGGATGTCGCTGCATGGTATTCACGCCCAGGGCTGCGCGCCATTAAACATCTATGGGGGAGTTGGAGGTCGCTTGAAAGGCCTTGATGTAGAAGATGATGTGAGAAAGTCCTTCATTTGGTTATGTTTGGAAAGTCACAATCATATTAGATTGGGATATGTCATTTTTAAAGAAAAGCTGAAAGGAGTATTACATGTTTTACTGTCTTTAATTGCTCTACTGCGGATTCAAAGCTAATGTAGTTGACATTAGGCATAAGCACTGATATGAATTACAGCCATGAATGTTCAGTGGCTTTGACTAATACCTCTCGCAGGCCTTGTATCTGCAGCTACAGGATTCACAATGCTAAATTCCGCGGGCCGGCTTCAGCGCGTGTTTCCCATAATCTTCTCATTAGCTTTTATAATTGGGGGACCGTATGCAAATAATTGGTGTGGTTAACATATGAATTGGGGTCCTGTTGTTCAGGGAGACCCGGCAGCTCAAGGACACGCCGTGGCCCTTTCATCTACACCGTACAATGCCAGACAATGAAGAGAAGATCTGCTACACGGTGAATATGCGCCCTTCTCCTTTCTCTCTTGATGGATGAATACTGCAAGCTAAAACTGGTTTTGATACATGGACATCTGATCCACATTATTTGT